CTGCCACACCCACACCCGCCCCCGCAAAGCGCCGCTTTCAGAGGCTTCCCTAGTGCACTTCCACTGCCTGTTTACCTGCTGGGCAAGCCTGGGGAAGCTTCTAAGAGCAGCTCCGATCAGCTGTAAGGCGGGGAGGGGGAGGGGCTGGAGCGGAGAAGATGGCAAAATGGAAGCCCACTGTGTTTTGGCCAGGATTCCTCGCTTACCGGGCAGCTAAAATGGCGGCCGCATGGTTTTTGTATAAAGGTGAGTTTTTGCCCATAGGAACGCATTAAACGGGTTTTAATGCATTCCTATGGGCTTTTTTATTTTGCATAGCGACGAATCCGTATAGCGACGATTTTGGCTGCACAGATTATCGTCGCTATGTGGGGCACCACTGTAAATGCGCTGTCCCCTCAAAATAATGCAACACACAGCCATTAATGTCTAAACTGCTGGCAACAAAAGTGAGTATACCCCTAAGTGACAATGTCCAAATTGGGCCCAAGTAGCTGTTTTCCCTCCCTGGTGTCATGAGACCTGTTAGTGTCACAAGTCTCAGGTGTGAAGGGGAAGCAGGTGTTGTCACTCTCACTCTCTCAGACTGGTCACTGGAATTTCCACATGGCACCTCACGATAATGAACTATCTGAGGATCTGAAAAAAACAAATTGTTGCTCTACATAAAGATGGCCTAGGCTATAAGAAGATTGCCATAACCCTGAAACTGAGTTGCAGCACGGTGGCCAAGACCATACAGCGGTTTAACAGGACAGGTTCCACTCAGAACAGGCCTCGCCATGGTCGACCAAAGAAGTTGAGTGCCCGTGTTCAGTGTCGTATCCAGACTTTGGCTTTGGAAAATAGACGTATGAATGCTGCCTGCATTGCTGCAGAGGCTGATGGGGTGGGGGTGGGGGTCAGCCTGTCAGTGCTCAGACCATATGCAGCACACTACATCAAATTGGTCTCCAGGGCTGTTGTTCCAGAAGAAAGCCTCTTCTAAAGATGATGCATAAGAAAGCCCACATACGGTTTGCTGCAGACAAGCAAACTAAGGACATGGAACCATGTCCTGTGGTCCGATGAGACCAAGATAAACTTATTTGGTTCAGATGGTATCAAGCGTGTGTGGCGGCAATCAGGTGAGGAGTACAAAGACAAGTGTGTTGTGCCTACAGTCAAGCATGGTGGTGGGAGTGTCATGGTCTGAGGCTGCATGAGTTCTGCTGGCACTGGGGAGCTACAGTTCATTGAGGGAACCATGAATACCAACATGTACTGTGACATACTGAAGCAGAGCATGATCCCCTCCCTTCGGAGACTGGCCCGCAGGACAGTATTGCAACATAACGACCCCAAGAATACCTCCAAAATGACCACTGCATTGTTAAAGAAGCTGACGGTAAAGTTGATGGACTGGCCAAGCATGTCTCCAGACCTAAACCCTACTGAGCATCTGTGGGGCATCCTGAAACGGAAGGTGGAAGTGTGCAAGGTCTCTAACATCCACCAGCTCTGTGATGCTGTCATGGAGGAGTGGAAGAGGACTCCAGTAGCAACCTGTGAAGCTCTGGTGAACTCTATGCCCAAGAGGGTTAAGGCAGTGCTGGAAAATAATGGTGGTCACACAAAATATTGACACTTTGTGCCCAATTTGGACATTGTCACTTAGGGGCGTACTCACTTTTGTTGCCAGTGGTTTAGACATTAATGGCTGTGTGTTGCGTTACTTTGAGGGGACAGCACATTTACACTGTTATACAAGCTGTATACTCACTGCTTTACATTGCAGCCAAGCGTCTTTTCTTCAGTGTTGTCACATGAAAATATAAACTAAAATATTTATTAAATGTGAGGCGGTGTACTCCTGTAATATACTGTATAAACTGTCAATCTGCTCAGTAACAAGTATCAGTAATAATTATTGATTAATCGTTTACATTACCTGACTGACCTCTGTATCAAATATATTTAAATGGTATATTTAAAAACCTAGTTATATTCCAATTAAAATAAACAGTAGGGAAATTCTATTTATTTTACTTATATTTTAAGTTTTTACTCACCAGCAGCTTCAAGAACCAACTGTAATCTAGCTTTGGCTTGTTCAGCAGCAGACTGGAAAAAAGAAGATGGCAGAAAATAAACAATACGTTTTGTATGGAAATTGCTGTTGAAAGCTATGTTTGGGTGAATTAACCTCAGGACATATATCTGACGTTTGTTACTCATTAGCCAGCACGTTTTCCTGCATTGCTCTATTTTTTCTGATGCTTAGAAAATTTTTCTAACCTTTCTTATTCTACTTTCCAGAGTTTGAATGGAAACCAATAAATGAGAACAGACACATTCCTCAGTTCTGATGACACAAACTCCAATGATTTCGTGATTAATTGGCTAAAATCTTGTTGGTAGAGCTGCAACACACCATGACAATGATGACTAACCTAGTACATCAAGGCACAAGCAAAAATACAGATTTTTACATATATCTGGGTGGTAGCCATGTTATGCAAAAGTTATGCTTTTTTGTTATGCAAAAATGTCGAGGCACCACTGTATTATTTTTGCTACAAAAGCAAAAATAATACAGTGGTGCCTTGACTTACGAACATCTTGACTTGTGACGAATTCAAGTTAAGACCAGTTCCGGTCACAAAATTTTGCTTTAACTTGTGACCAGTGCTTTGAGATACGACCGGAAAAAAGGCGGGGAATTTGAACTGCTTTCCCTCCTTTTGTCCTTCAGTTAACTGTTGGTCAGTGAAGAAGGTGCTTCTCTGTAGCTCCTTCACACCAGTGGTTAGAAAGTGTGGGTTCGGAGACAGACTTCAGACTGCCTGGTACTGCATGGTACTGTATTGTGGGTCTTTTTTATTTTATTTTTTTGCATTTTTGCATTTTTAATTTTTTTTACTTTCTTTTTAAAAACAGAGAGCTAGCCTGTTCTGGGTGACTACTATACAGGGTTTTGCAGTGTGGGTTTGGGCTAGGTGGGTGTTATGTTTCTGTGCTCTGATGGGTCTTGCAGTGTGTAGTTATAGCATTTTTAGTCCCTGCTGGAATTTTTTTTTGTATTCTGTGGCTTCTAGGGTTTGAGTACTGTACTGTGTGGTGTGCTGAACAGTTCTGGGTGACTACTATACATGGCTCCAAAGAAAGAGCAGAGCAGAGGGAAGAAGATCATGATATGCGTATAACTGATCTGGCCTCTGAATACAAGATGCCAAAGTCAACCATCTCCACCATATTGAAGAAGAAAGATGTCTTGAAAGAAATTGATATGGCAAAAGAAGTCACAATCCTAACAAAGAACAGGACAACCCTGATTGAAGAGGTGGAAAAACTTCTACTGGTGTGGATGAATGAGAAACAGCTGAAAGGGGAAAGCATCAGTGAAGACATGATTTGTGAAAAAGCCAAGAAGCTGCAGTGATTTAATGGAAAGAAGACCATTGGTTGAAGACCATGAAGAGGAGCTGAACACAGAAGAGCTTGCAAAACTGCAAACTGAGTAGCAAAAGGCTCTTGTGGTGGAGCTTTCCACTGAGGAAGAGGAAGAGGGAGTGTAGGTTAGCAGTGAGAAGATAAAATCCATCTGCGAGAAATTGAATGAGTGCCAGGACTTCTTTGAGAGGCACCACCCAAACAGAACCGTGACAGGCAGAGTTTTGGACATGATGAAGACAACGTGGTCAGCCATTTCCGAAAGGTTCTGCAGTGCAGGATGAATCAGGTGACATTGGACAGATTTTTCACCAAAACTGAGCCTGCACCCAAGAGACAGCAACAGGAAACCCCTGGAGAAAATAACCCAAAGGAGAGGAGCTTTACCTCCCAATTATGACCATCTCACCTTTTTAAATGTGTTTTGTTAAAATGTGCTTGTTTTAAAATGTGTTTTAGACTTCAAACTCTCAAAATGTGTTTTGTTAAAATGTGTTGTTTTAAAATGTGCTTGGTTTAAAATGTGTTTTAGACTTCAAACTCTCCTCCCCCCATTGTCTTCGCTCTCTCTCTCTCTCTCTGTGCTTAAAAGCACAAACCTTTGTCTGAGGGGTCTGCGTACCCCAGTGATAACCTTCTTTCCTTCCTCTTTTCCCCATTGTTCCCTCCTTCCCATCATCCTTTCCTACACTTTTTTTAACCTTACAGGTCATCTTAGGTTTTAAAAAAGTCTCCTCCTAGTGGATGGATTAACCGCTTTTGCATTAGTTCCTATGGGAACTAATGTTTTGAGATGCAACCAGCGCCTTGAGACACGATCAAAAAATGGCTGGAATGAATTAACTGCGTTTCAGTGTATTCCTGTGGGAAATGGTGCTTTGAGTTATGACCAACTTGAGTTACGACTATCATCCTGGAATGAATTAAGTTCTCAACTCAAGGCACCACTGTAATGAGTCATGTAGAAGCTTAAATATGAACAAATTTTAATTTGTATGAGTTATTTATTTAATTTTCAAATATTTCCATTCCAGATAAATTAGTACTTAAACAATCAAGAACACAGAAAACTAAGCCCTATTGCAAAGGATAAACATGGCTTCAGCAAAGGTAGGTCTTGTCTTACTAAATTCCTTTGAATTTTTTGAATGCATGTGCATGATTAATCTGATAAATTTACTCTGACTTTCTCACATAACACAAGTTGCACTGGCCATAATGCCAGGCAATCAGTATTCTGCAATTAGATTACTAATTCGATTAGCATGGCTCCCATTTCCCCTGTTGGGCTGAATGCATATGAAGTGCTTTGTGAACAGCACTTCTGCTTTGCAGTGCTTTTCCCCAATGCTGGAGTTTCATGCTGCACACGTAAGCTGCACAACAGGATTTCAGCCACTAAATTAGCTTAGAAGTTCCCTCTTTTACTGCATTCTTTTCCAGAGATGGCTCCTATTCACTAAGGGTCTGAGAACCACTATCACCACCACCTCGATTTGGGCCCCAGAGGTCATTTATGTCGCAATTTCTGTTCTAGGGAGCCATTTTTAAATTCTGCTTTACTGATTTTTCATTGCATCTACCAGAAGTGACCTTTCTTTTCTATAAATAATACATTGTGGGACACATGCAAAGGCATTTTGCATGCCTGTCCCACGAACTGTTGAACCACCTTTAACTTAGTACATGCAGAAGCTGAGTTTCAGTCATTATCCAAATGCACACACTTAAGAATTTCTTGTTCTGACCTGCTTTTGATGTAATTAAAAATGGGGTACAGTTTGAAATTAATTAATTTGAAATGGTAATTTTTGCCATTTTTATTTTTCAAGCTTTGTAACCTACCCTGAAAAATTGGAGTAACTCATGTTAGAAATTTAAATAAATGAAGTTATTGAACTGCTCTCCACAAGATATTAGGTTATTTAAAAAATTAACACAATAAACCATACACATTATCGTGCCAAAGTCAACGTGTGCATAATATAGCACAGAGCAGTGATGGCGAACCTATGGCATGTGTGCCACAGCTGGCACGCAGAGCCCTATCTGGGGCACGCAAGCCATAAGTCGCTGGATCGCTATTCCCTCCTGCAGCCAAACCTCAGGAGGCGGCTGCAGCCACAGTGCTGATCCTTTGACAAGTGGCGACCCAGGATCCGGAGCAACTGGTGCTGGCAGCAGATCCAGAGTAGAGTCTTGAAGCACCTCCGTGCCTGGGATTCCACCTTCCACCACCACTTCTGGTTCCGCCACTGCCACTTACGGTTCTGCCATCGCCGCGGCCTGCTGCCCACTGTTTTTTTCCCCAGTTTGGGCACTCGAGCCCAAAAAGGTTCGCCGCCGCTGGCACAGAGTGTTTAACAAAGCAATAGCATCCTAACATACATTTCTGTGGGTACATACATGTGCATGCACACAGAGACACAAAAACAGATAAAACGCTTGTAAGCATAATAACTTTATAGTTGTTGACACACAAGTTAATGAAGGAGGCTAAGAACAAATCTACTTTGCGTTATAGTTCAACTAATTGTTTAACTCACAATTAATATTGTGCAATTATATTTAGAAGGATTAACTGTCAAAGAAAAATAATTATTAAGAATAAGGCAAAGATTGCTGTAATTCATTAGAGTTTTGTCTTCTTAACTTAGTAGAAATTAATTATATTGACTAGAAACTTTAATAAGCAAAAGTATGATCGCCTTATTCTGGGACATCATTTAAAACAGCTTCTGACACTTCAGTATAGCAGGGCATGACAGCAGGGCATAAATTCAACTATAAGTGGTAGTAATATAAAGTACTTTGAAAAAATAAGTTTTAATGCACAAGTACTCAGCACAAACCTTGTTATACCTGTCACTATGCAAACAGTTATAAGAATCTACAGACAACAGAAGCTGAGAAAACATGTTGGTATTTGTAAACATTAGAGAGCTTCTGATGGTTTTCAAGAAGGACTTCTCGGTGAAGTTCCATGAAAGCTTAGCTTAAAATATAATAATTAATCTTTAAGATGCCACAATGTTTTTGTCTTCATTTTTTATTTTTATTTTGTTTTTGCCTGATATTCTGGATTTAAGAAACTAAGATTATATTTGTTTTGGCTCCTCTGCTGCAGATGGAGACAGATGGATCACTGCAGATGGAGACAGCAGCCCCGAAATTAAAAGACGCCTGCTTCTTGGGAGGAAAGCAATGACAAACCTTGACAGCATCTTAAAAAGGAGAGACATCACCTTGCCAACAAAAGTCCGAATAGTCAAAGCTATGGTTTTTCCTGTAGTGTTGTATGGAAGTGAGAGCTGGACCATAAAGAAAGCTGACCGCCGAAGAATTGATGCCTTTGAATTGTGGTGCTGGAGGAGACTCTTGAGAGTTCCCTAGACTGCAAAGAGAACAAACCTATCAATTCTAAAGGAAATCAACCCCGAGTGCTCATTGGAAGGACAGATCCTGAAGCTGAGGCTCCAGTACTTTGGCCATCTCATGAGAAGAGAAGACTCCTTGGAAAAGACTTAGATGCTGTGAAAGTGTGAAGGCAAGAGGAGAAGGGGACGACCGAGGATGAGATGGTTGGACAGTGTCATCGACGCAACCAACATGAATTTGACACAACTCCGGGAGGCGGTGGAAGATAGGAGGGCCTGGCGTGCTCTGGTCCA